TATGTGTGTGTGTGTGTGTGTGTGTGTGTGTGTGAGAGAGAGAGAGAGAGAGAGAGAGAGAGAGAGAGAGAGAGAGAGAGAGAGAGAGAGAGAGAAGTGTTTCCTCAAGGCCGGCCCATATGTGGGGGTCCGAGGACAATCCTCAGGAGTCAGTTCTCTCCTTCCACCATATGGGTCGGGGGAATTAAATGAGGGCTTTAGGCTTGGCACCTTTACCTGCTGACCCATCTTGCTACCCCCTCCTACGCTTTTATTTGTCAGGGAGAGGCTGCATGCTGTGGTGAGTGTCCCCAGCCCCAAGAACGAGACAGTGTGTCTGGGAAGGATGGGGATCCCACAGGGCCACTCACCAGAGGTTCTGCCAGCAGCGTACATGGAGAGGACCCCTTGGTTAGCCATGTACAGGGCGGGGACGTTGAAGGTTTCAAAGAGGATCTGGGGAGGAAGATTGGCATGCTGGCCGGCCAGGTGGCACACACTGCCCAGGTGCTCATGAGTGCCTCTTGCAGCAGGCTGTGGATCCAGGGAGACTAAGCCCGGGGTGGCCAGCACTTATCTCCAGCTAGCTCTGCTGGGAAGCGGTTGTTCTAGCTTCACTCTGCGGCTGTGATAAAACACTCTGACCTAAAGCAACTTAGGGGAGCAGAGGGTTTCTTTGGTGAATACTTGCTGGTCATGGAACATCACTGAGGGAAGTCAGTGATGTTCCAGGGCAGGAACACAGGGCAGGAGCCATGGAGAAACAATGCTTGCTGGCTCACTCAAAGGCTATGCTCAGGCTAGCTTTCTTATACAACCCAGGACCACCTGCAGGAATGATGCTGCCTACAGTGGGCTGGGCCCTCCTACATCACTTAACCACCAAGATAATCTCCCACATACGTACATGCACATAGACTAATATGATAATGGCAATTAGTTGAGACTTTTTTTCAGGTGGCTCTAGGCTGTGCCAAGTTGACAGTTAATGCTAATTAGGACACTGGTGCTCCTTCTAGATACTTCTATAATGGATGATGAGAAGGCTAGTTGGATGAGGACATAATGGTGAGACCCACCGGGGGCCCCACCTCTCCCTGGCCACTGGACAGGTGTGAGCATTGTGGAAGGGTTAGTGTTAAGATAAGGTCTGTGAGTTCAGATTGTCAGCATGCTTTGGGGTGCATCTTCCTGTCACTAGGCGCTGCAGTCTGGCTCTCCAACTAGCAGCTCTTGGACACTCCCTTCCTGCTTGTGCTTGACTGTCAGTCAAACGGCTAGTCTGACTAAGCCCTTCCCTTGTGCCAGCGTCTTTACCCTCCACAGACACCTTGCAACAACTGTACAAAATATCACCACTGATGACCTTCATGCCAGAAGGTGCGGTCCCAGAAAGGGCTGCTTGAAACTGTTTATAGGAGTCACTTTGCTGCCCTATATACCTGCAAGTACATATATCATCTAGACAAGTGATGTTGAGTCAGGGGCTGAGAAGGGCAGGTGGTTTGTCCAAGGAGGAGGAGAAAAAGGAGGGGATAGCCCCAGCCATGGGAGCCAACCATCTGCTTTTCTGATCGGACTAGTCTTGAACCTTCATCTCTATGTGTCTTTGTTCTGCTGGGCTCTGCAGGGAGCACACCCGCAGCTCCAGCCGGCTGAGGTTGAGCTCAGCTGCTCAGCCCCTGCCCTTCACAGTTTCTCACAGTCTCCTTCCTGGCGTGCACACACCCTCTTGCTCCATTGTCTGCTACAGTTGAGGAGTGACAGGCAGTTGTGTCGGGACGGTCTTATCCCTCTCTTGTCCCATTCTAGTTTGCTAAAAACCTCATGGACGTTGGATGTTTTTGGGTGAAGCCAGCCATGCTCAGTCCTCAGGGGAGCCAGCTTTGGCCATTTCCATGATCTGACTGTCCACACTGGGGTGGGGGTCAGGGGCCAGTTTGGGGCTTGTTTGATGTGAGCTCACACCTGTGCCGTGATGGGTAGAACTGCAGTTTCCAGGTCTAGGTGGCCTCTGAGATATGCAAATTATGCCTTGGCCCTGGGCCTACATATGAGGGACTGATGACTGCAGGAGATCCCACTGAGCTCCAGGGATGCTAGCCAGATGAGCCAACTCAGCCACCTGCTTTATTAGCTTTCCTGTATCCTCTGTCAGAGAAGCTGGGCATCAGGATAAGAACTCTGGCAGCTGGGGAACGGGCAGCTTCCTGCAGCCACTGCACCTAGCCCCACTGCAGCCTGAGGAGGACTCTGCCATCTGTGCTCTGGCTGGAGCACTCACAGACAGGGATCCACCCTTCAGCTCCATCAGTCCACCACCAAGTCCATCAGGGCAGGAAGGACCAGGATGAGGCCAGAGCCAGGGAACTTTTAATTCAGGACAGAACGGCAGCCTCCCTTCCTGCCTCAGCTGGCCCCATACCCCATTACCTGTGTCATTCTTGATTTAACATCCTTGCTGTTTAACGGTGGCTCTGTTATCATTACAGGGTGCTGCTCGGGGGAGATGTGGAGGGCCTGGTAGAAGGAGTGATGCCAAATCTGTAGAGAGAGGACAGTAGGCGAGCTGTTTGCTGTCCAGAGACATGCTGCTTGTTATCACCCATCTATTAACCTATGTATCAGATACATCTATTAGCTACCTAAATCATCTTTGTCTTCTGTTTACCAACTAGTCTCTCTCTCTAGATATAATCTACTACTACCCGCCTACACCTGTCTGTTCATCTCACTACCTGTTTAACGCCTGTCTATTCTGCATCTGTCTCTGTGTCTGCGTCTACCATCAATCTATCAATCTACCTTCTGTCTGTCATCTATCTACCTATCAATCATCTACCTGTCTAACTCAGTGGTTCTCAACCTTCCTAATGCTGTGACCCTTTAATGTAATTCTTCATATTGTGGTGGCCACCCTACCATAAAATTATTTCGTTGATAGTTCATAACTAATTCTGCTACTGTTATGAATCATAATGTATATATCTGATATGCTATCCAAAGGAGTTGTGACCCATAGGTTGAGACCCACTTGTCTAACATCCATCTATCTATGCCTATCATTTATAACCTAGCTATCTATCATCTGTTATATATTCTTCTATTCTTCTGACAAATCAGTACAGTTGAGCTCTAGATCTGTAGATTCTACATCTAAAGATTTAGCCAACCAAGAATCAAAAATGTTTGGGGGAAAATTGGGGCCATGGACTGTAACTCACTTGCTAGAATATTTCCCTGGCATGCACAAGGCCCTAGGGTCCATCCCCAGCACTATATAAACCAGGCGTGATAGTGCACACCTGAAATCCCATCACTCAAGAGGTGGAGGCAGGAGAGTCAAAAGTTCAAGGCTATCTTAAACCACAAAACAAGTTGGAGGCCAGCCTGGGCTACATGAGACTCTATCTCAAAACAAAACAAAACAATAACAAAAAAGCTGTGCCTGCAGTGAACATATTCAGACTCATTCCCTTGTCATTGTTCTTTAAGCAATCAGTGTCCCAAAATTTGTGTGGTGACGACACTGAGGATGTAGTCCATCTAGAGATGATGTGGAGCATATGGAAGGACTTGGTTGGCACCCTGCAAATACTACCATTGCACATAGAAATCCAGTGGCCTGGGTGTCCAAAATGCCCCAGGACCAGACCCCATAATTCCAAAGGATGGCTGAATTGTAGACAGCACTGCTGGATCACCATCAAAGCAAGATACAGTGTGATTCAGCCTCCAATGATACACCAGGCCTGAAGTTAGGGAATGGGGTTGGCAGGGATTGGCAGACCCAGCACTATCTAAAGGTCTCTTGGGTCTGATGGGTGACAGAAACATGCACCAAAACTCAGTGATGAGGTGGAAACACAGGTGATTTGGGTGTCACAGAGAAAACGCAGCAATGATGGAAGTTTGCCACATAGCATGTGCCTGCCCAGGACCATGAAGGTGACCTTAGTTAGCCTCTATCCTCATTTTTAAAATGGAAGAAAGCATCCATCCCCTCAGGGAGTGTGGGCCTCAGAAGGCAGTGTTGCCAAAGAGGCATGCTGTTCATTCCTGTTGTAAGGTTCTATCCTCTGAGCCAAACTGCCATCATCTTCACTAGACAAGCTCTGCCTGCTTGTAAAAGTGTGTCAGGACCAGCCTGTGCACTGTTGACTTTCCCTCTGGAGAGGATGGGGAAAGATCATTAGATTCTCGCCAGTAGCCATGTGGTGGCTCACAACAATCTGTAACTCCATTTCCAGAGAATGTGATAACTTCTTCTAGTCTCTGCAGCCACCAGGCATGCAGGTGGTGCACATAGACAGGACAGAAAAAACAGTCATATACATAAAACAAATACATATTAAAAAATTAAGCCCTATACTTGCTAGTTTTTTGTCAACTTGATACAAGTTAGAGTCATTAGAGGAGAGAACCTCAACTGATAATCAATAAGAAAATGTCTGCATAAGATCCAGCTATAGCCAGGCATTGGTGGGTGGTGCACGCCTTTAATACCAATATTAGGCAAAGGCAGGTGGATCTCTGTGAGTTCAAGACCAACCTGGTCCACAAAGCAGTTTTCAGGACAATCAGGATTGTTTCACAGAGAAATTCTGTTTCAAAAACAACAACAAAAAGCAAACAAACAAACAAGATCCAGCTATAGGCCATTTTCTTTCTTTCTTTTTTTTTTTTTTTTTTGGTTTTTCGAAACAGGGTTTCTCTGTGTAGCTTTGCGCCTTTCCTGGAACTCACTTGGTAGCCCAGGCTGGCCTCGAACTCACAGAGATCCGCCTGCCTCTGCCTCCCGAGTGCTGGGATTAAAGGCGTGCGCCACCACCGCCCGGCTGGCCATTTTCTTAATTAGTGATTGATGTAAGAGGGCCTGATCCATTGTGGGTGAGGCCATCCCTGGGCTGGTGGTCCTGGGTTCTATAAGAAAGCAGGCTGAGCAAGTCATGGGAAGAAAGCCAGAAAGCAGCACCCTTCCATGGCCTCTGCATCAGTTCCTGCCCCGAGATCCCTGACCTGCATGAGTTCCTGTCCTCACTGCTTTTGATAATGAACTGTTCTATGGAACTCTGAGCAAAATAAACTTGCTTTTGGTCATGGTGTTTCACCAGAGCCATGGTAACTTTAAGAAAACCCATGTCTTCAAAGTATCTGAGAATAGAGCTTGTGACTCCAGTATAAAAACTTTAGAGACAGCCAGGTGGTGGTGGTGGTGGTACTTGCCTTTAATCCCAGCACTCAGGAGGCAGAGGCAGGCAAATCTCTGTGAATTTGGGGCCACTTAGTCTACAGAGTGAGTTCCAGGACAGCCAGGACTACACAGTGAAATCCTGCCTTGAAAAACCAAGGGGGGAAAAAACTTTGGGGACATATTGTGGCCACCTACAATACTTAAGCACACTGTAGGTTCATAACAAACAGTCCTAGTTGTCCCGTGTGAAGCTCCTGCCTTTTCTGTCAAGGGGAGGCCATGCAGCACTCTGAGAAAGCAGCTACGGACAGCTCCATAGTCAAAAGACCCAGGAAGCAGAATGGTGTCTGAGAAGCCACAGAGTCAGGCAGGCGTATTCTTTGATAGCTAGACACTAACAGCCTAGAACAGGACAGTGACATAAGGTGCTGTTGTGGGGATGAGTGAGGGACAAGATGGTGGATAGAGGATGGTCCCTCAGAGATGCTGGTTGTGGGTAGATGTTTGAAACCAATATCTAGAGGCTTAGGAAGAGCCAGGAGCAATGCCACAAAGGTTTGGAACCCCCCCCCCACAAAAAAAACACAGAGTGACTGGTGACAAAGGCCTAGTATCAGCCTGTCTACCATGCTGTGTGCTCCCCCTGGCCTGGTAGAGTCAGCCACCATGCTGTGGCTTCATACACCTGCAGAAAGCCCAGGAGATGTTGCATGAGAGTGCCATCTTGGATGTGTCCTGTTGCTGATGGCATGGCTCTTTCTCATGCTTGTTAGTTCTCAGGCCCTCCAATTGTCTAGAAATGAGTTCAAGATGGACTATAGAAGGATTTCTGGCAGTTAGATTGAAAACCAGCATTCCTTGGGAACTTGTGAAACTCTTCCTGAGTCACTTCATTTCTCTTGCCTCTGGCAGAAGGGACATGACTCTCCATTAACATGTACTTATTGTAGCATATCAAAACCCCTGTTGGCCTCCAGGCTTCCTCAGTCCCTACTCACAAATCCTTGTTATACATGTCAAAGCCTCCTGCTGGCCCTTCTCACCTCCCAAGGCTTCCCTCCTCTGAGATGCCTGTTTGCTCTCTATATGGGTTTCCCCCTGCCTCCACTCCCTCTGCTATCTCTATCTCACTCTCTCCACTATCCATTCTCCTCTCTCTTGCAGACAGCCCTGGCCATGTCCAGTCTATTTCTCTTTCTCTCTGTTCTAGATTCTTCCAGATGCCTCTGCATATTTTCTCTCACTGACTCACGACAAAAAACCTTCCCCTGAACCACACCATGGAGCAGTCACTTTGGTAGTTTCTTTACTGCACCCCATCACATAGAGCGTCACCCTCGCCTTCAGGACCCAAGCTGTGCCCAGATTCTTGATCCACAGAAACCAGGAGGGTGGAGGCATAAATCTGGGCCTGGAACTGACTGATTAAGTTGCATTAGTCCATTGCTATATCCGAGTTATGATGCCCAAAACTCCTCTGTGGAAGCCCCTAGACCCCAGTGTCACCATTTCTGGAATACACTGTAGTGGGTGCTGTTGGAGACACTGAGTGGAGCTTCTACTGGAATGGTGTGTCCCTGATCCCATACAGGTACTACACTAACAACATGAGGAATTCTGAACCAAACACACACAGGAGGATGCCCTGAGGAGATGAGTGCAGAGACTGAGGTAACGCTCTCCAAGTGAAGGAGCCCCCAAACACTGTCAGCAAGCCTTCCAGAACCCAGGGAGCAGCCTGAGGCAGGCTTTCCCTCACAGCCCTCAGCAGCAATCTGTACCAACAACACCTTGGCCTTGAGGGTTGTGAGAGAACCAATGTCTGAGAATTTTACTGCCATGTTGTAGGATTTCATTACAGCTGCCTCAAGCGCTTAGATCATAAGCAAGCAACAGGTCCTCAAGTGCAGGTGTTGTGGACAGCTGGTTAGACCGTTCACTGTGTGTTACTTCCCTCTGAGGCCAAGGACTTCTTTTCCATCCTTCCCTACCAGCCATGATGGCACAGGAACAATCATATCATCTTATAAGACAAGGAATCTGAGGGTCCAAGATGCCATGCCACATATCCTGGTGGCATGGGCAATAAGCAGAGGCGGCAGAACCATAACAGAGGTCTCCTAACTAGGACCCCTGAGACTGTGACTATGGAGGGACTGAGAGCCGCAATAGAGCTAGGCCCTAACAGCAGATCCTTCCCTTAGTGCTAAGTGCTTGGGTGTGATGCCCCCCTCCCCCAGGGGCTGTAGCTCACCTTCTCCACATTGTCCCAGTTGGCAATGGCTCCCCGGGTGATGGGGTGGTTCAGGTTCAGCTGTACCAGATTATTTTGGGCCTCAGCTCCAATGAAACAGTCTTCTTCTTCCGTCCCCACCAGCAGGTTCTGAAAAACATGGGCAGAACAGACAGCCCTTGAGAGCAGCAGGCTGGGGCTGGACCCACCGTACCTGGCTCTCATCTATGGACACAAGCCAGTGCCCTGAAGATGCTGGAAGCTGGCACCAATCACTAGCCCAGACATTGAGGAGGCTCTCCAACCATGCACACTTTCAGCAGTGGTTGCTAGCAAAGGGGGCCATTGCCTGCAAGGTCCAGAGCTGCTGAGGGTCACTATAAGGACACTCACACTGCAGGTGTGGAAACTGAGGCCAGCAGAGAAAAAATTATTGGAGAGAAGGCACGGGGACATATCCTGCACACTTGGTCCGGAAGGCTTGATGGAAAAGGGCCTGAGGCATGAGCTAGCTCCCGAGTTTCAGGAAGATGGCCTACTTTCAAGGTGGATTGAACGGAATTCCCGTGGTGTCAGAGGGGCCTGGGCATCTACCTCAGCTCACCAAAAAACAGACATTAGGATTAGAGCCGTGAAGATTTAGCAGGAACTTGCCTGCTTAGATGAGAAGGAGCAGAGTAGGCAAGGGCACAGACTGAAGAGCCATCAGGCTATGCCCACATCTGAGTCTGAGCAGAGGAAAGAAGAAAACAAGGCAGGTGGGTGTTTCAGTGTACAAGGAAGGCTGACTCGGCGAGCTCATGGAGGAACCCTGAGCCATACTCACTCATCAGAGGAGTCCAGGGTCTCCGGGATAAGCTCATGCTTAAGCTAGATGGGAGCAGTGGTGTGCGTGAGGCAGTATGCAACAGGGAAGAGGGACAAGGGGGTCGGAGGATATGGTACAAGTGTGACAGGACAGTCATAGAGCTGGGCAATGTTGCAATGCTGAGATGCTGCAATACTGCATCAGTGCATGGTACCAGCTGTTATCATGCAGCTATGTGGTGGGACTATGCTACAGTGCTACAGTAGTGCATGGTGCAATGGTACCTTGCTGCAATGGAGCAGCACGATGATGCTATAGGGCTGCATGGGTGCATGGTGCCACGGTGCAGCCATGCAGCTGTGTGGCAATACCATGCTGCAGTGTTGCAGTGCTATGTGGTCGTGCATGACACATGGAGCATGGCACAATGATACCTTGCTGCAGTGGAGCATCACAGTGATGCTGCAGGGCTACAGTAATGCCATACTGCAGTAGAACAGTAGGTTTCTGAGCCACAGTCTAGCTGCACAGAGCTTGGTGTCCTCAGCTATCTAGTCCTTTCTACAGCTTTGGCCTTGGTCTGAGCAAGACCTCAGGTGAGCTGCTCACCTCCCGAAAACCCCATCCCCTTCTCTGTCAAGTGGAAGCAATTCCCTCTGGATCCTCTGCACTGCTGGAAGCATGTGGAGTGAGACCTCAAAGACTGAAAGACCAAGGGGACATGGCATTGCCAACGCTGTGCCTCCTCTGATGCTTTTCTGAGTGTGGTTTTCTGAGTGTGGGGATTGGGTCTGATTACCCAGCTTTGAAGTCACCATTTACTGCAAGGAAGTAGACAGGGTTCCTGTCCCTGGGTGGCCTGTGGGCCAGGACTGCAATGGAAAGAATGAATTTGTCCTTGTTCAGCCTCTCTGTCCCCTCTTGGCCTCCCTCCAGAGACTGACCCAATGTCCTCACACTGCCGGTCACCAGCCCTGGGTAGAGATCAGGGACACAGATGAGACAGCTGAGTCTCATACCTGGGAAAGGAAAGGAAAGGAAAGAAAGAATTCTCCTGAACATAGGAGCCACTCCTGCTGCCCAGGGCTAGGGAATGTGGTTAATGGGAGGAAAGAAGACAGAGGAGACAGGCTGAGTAGAAGATTTGCTTATCATCTTCATGGAGAAATGGACTTGTCCCATGCTATGACCCTTTACTTCATCCCACATAACTGATCTATAAGCACTGCTGGCCCCCACATGCTCTTTGCACAGTGCTCCCCCTTAGCCATGGTTCTTCATTCAGGGGTTCTGTGAAACCATATTCTGCAAACATCATCTGCCATGACTGCCTCTGCCACACACACACAACGAACACTGCAGCATCTCTCGCTTAACATAGATGGGTACATGGTTTATAACTCACATGCTACACAGGTCTGAGTAAGAACGAGTATGAAGCTTCAGGACTCTCCAGAGTCCCGGGCATCCACTGGTGTTCTCAGGACACACCCACAAAATGAGAGGCTCCACGGCACTGTTAATGTGCTTCCCTCCCCCTGGTGCTATGGGACGACTTCAGGTACAACCCACATTAAGACCTTAAGCTACAGAGAAAGAGATGCCACACGTCAGAGGAAGCTGGTGGCAGAGAATGCCAGAGGAGGAGGGAGCCACTACCTGTGGGGAGGGGTGCTGCCAATCAAGCTTAGAGGAGGGGTTCCTGAAGCAGGAGGAGAAGGCTGCCAGTGACTCCAGCTGGGACTGGAGGTACTAGAGACAAAGAGAAGCTGCAACCAGAGGCAGCTGCCTCTTATGAAGTGTGTGGAAGAGGCTGCAACCTGAATGGGAGCTGCTTGCTCATGTCCTCTAGTCTGTCCCTAAGGCCACCTTCTTGAGATGTCTAACAGAAAGAAGTATGGAAGTCAGGACATTGGGAGCTATGACAGTCGCAGTAACCAAAGCAGCATAAGAGACTAGAGGATAAAGCCAGGGCGTCACTCACATTATGTTTCAGTTTCCCGATGATGGTGGGGAAGACAGACAGAGGGGCCTCATTTCCTGCAAAGCCCACCTTGCTGAAGCCAGAACCGTAGTCACAGATGATGGGTGTTTGGTCCATGGTGCTGTGGTGGCCTGGACACACCTGCAGGGAGAGACCACATCATCCCTTGTCCCAACAGGCACTGTGCCAGCAGCGAGACATGGGCTCCATGTACCTAGAGCAAGGTCAGCCTGAGCATGAGTCACTCTGCAGGTGCTGTGGCAACTTAGGAATGGAGAGCTTTAAACAGCTGTGTGCATACGGTCACCCCACGAGCCAGCGGCCTGGGGGCCTGCTTCAGATGCTCCCTCTAAAACAAATGAAGCACTTACAGAAAGCTGTTTGGAGTGCTTAATACACAAATCAGTCACAAGGAAACCGGTCCTGTCTGAGTGTGAACCTCTGGGTGGGTCTGCCTGGCTTGTCCTAGTTTCAACACTAAAGAAACATTGTCTCTGAAACCTCTGTTGTGGACAAACTGGGACAGATCCTGTGGTCTGGACAAGGCCAGGCTTCCCTAAGCAGAGTACGGTGCATGTGGGCAGGGATGGGGCAACTGGCTTCCTTCCAGCATGGAAGAACACCACAGGAATTGCTGGGCTGCAGAGCAAGGCAGGCTCAGAGCTCAGGAAGCTGTACACCATGGATGTTAACGGATATTTTATGGCAAAAGCCTGATCCCTGGCAGCCCCAATAAGCCATGATCAGCCACTCGTCTCCAGTACACCATTTTGAAAAGCAATTGTGAAAAGCAGAGAAGATTTATTAACGTGGTCATGTTGGAAAGAGAAACAAAGTGGCCCAGTTGCCCCCAAGTCTCTCTTCTGAGGCCCAGACATAAAGCTCAGGTTTAAACAGAGGGCAGGAGGTGTGCATTCCTAAGCAGTCCTGGTCAAGGTGTGGTCCTGCCCGTCACTGACTCATCACTGTCACTCCAGTCTCTCCTGCAAGGTGGTCTGACAAGTTCTCAGAACTCTGTGAGATCTCTCTGGGAGACAAGCTCTCCCCGTGGCTGGCACCAGACTTCAACCTTTCCCTTTGCCAGTATGAGACTCCTGAGGCAATTCCAGTGCCTTGGAGTCTATTGCTTCAGTAGTCTCATAGCATAACTGATTCTAAAATATCCCATCCTGTGTTTGAAGTGATTTCTAAGCAATTAAGGGCTCCAAGCACCTATACTGACAGCTTGCAACCAACTGCAACTCCAGGGGGTCTGGTGCCCTCTTCTGGCCTCCACAGGTACCTACATGCATGCAGCACACACAAATTCATACAGATGCATATACACAAAAATAAAAATAACCTTTAAAATAAGTTCTCTGTAGGGGCCCATAGCTTGTGCCTTGTGGCTTTGTCTTGTTTTCATCTTGACTCAAGGTCAGAGGTCTGAGCTTGTTTCCCCCTGCAAGGCTGCATAATAGGATGTTTTGGTCAAAGGTATGGTCACTAGATGTCTTGAGTACTAGGGAGCTGTTTACACTTAACTATACTTTGTACTTTGAACAATGATGTCCTTCAAAGGCATCATTTTTGCCCCCTTGCTTTGGGTATATAAAGGCTGTGAGTAATAAAACTCAGGTGTCTGTAGTATTGACCCAGAACCCTCCCAAAGCTATCCCGTGTCTCTGTCTTTTTCTTCATCTACATCTATATTTCATAGCTATCATTTCCAAATTCCACACTTCCCACTTCAGAACCCATTCAACAGGTCGAGCGGGACTTGACAAATGGTGCCCAATGTGGGGCTTTCTGAATCCAATGATGGAACACCAAGAGATGAATCGAGTACTCTGGATGTCAAAAATTCACATGCGGTGAGAAAACTCAGAGTAATAGTAAACAGTTGTTTGTACATTCTCTTGGAGATATTTTAAAAGCCAGAGGAAGTTAGAGTTGCAGCAAGCATATAAGTCATGAAGGTTTGAGTTTGTAAATTTTTTTTTAGGTCTGAGTAAATAGTTTGAAAATATGTATGTCTGGGTATGTCATGTAGTGTGAATGAGTGATAGCATGAGTCTGAGTGAATGATCTGGATGTACTGAGGTTGCAGGCCTGAGTTGAGTCTAGAGTTGTTGGAGTCACTAGGTGTGGACACCTTTATGAAGCTGAATTTGAGGAGACTAAGGAGGGACTAGAGGGCTTGGGAGATTTAATAGTTTCCCTTTCACAAAAATTGGAGACTCTGCAGGTCTCCTCTCTTCTCAGAAAGGCACTCCTCTTCCTACTGCAATAGCTAGATTAGAATGGGCCAGGGGAACTGCTGGTGTGGCTGGAGTCTCTGTTTCCAGAGAGACTAGAATGCTGTGGAAGAGGTAGTGTGGCTGAGCCCTGGAGGGCAAAGCCACAGCAGAGGCAGGGACATGGCCGCACTGGGCAGCACAGGTACGGCGTGGCCGGCACACTTGCACACATGCACACATGCCCGGCCTAAGTGGGTGCTCACTGCAGGACATCAGCATGGTGCTGGGGTTCTTGCCTGGTTGTGGACGGCAGCATGAGGACTATTAAGGCTGGGAAGCCTGGGCTCCCAGCGGCAGAGGATGTTTCTCCCTGAAACAGATATCATGAAACAAAGCCCTCTATGTCGCCAGAGGAACTGCTAGAGGTGGATGTTTTTTACACATAACAAAGTTATTTGATAATGAGTTTTGCTTGCCACATATTTACAGCTTCAGTGGGGCCTTGCCCATGCAGGGTTATTAATTGCCCCAGAGAAAATGCAAAGACAACCACCTTTTCAATATTTAGGACATGTATCATACCCTAAGGAATCAAAGCCTCAAAAATTAAAAATAAGAAAAGATGGGTAAAAAAACTTTGAATGATTTTCAAAAGTTATTAGGGAACATTCAATGGCTACAACCTTATTTAAAATTATCTACTGATGATTTGAAACCCTTAAATTATAGTTTAAAGGGAGATAATGAGGCTAATTCGCCCAGAGAGTTAACTGAAAAAGGTAGGCAGATTGTTTTACAAGTTGAGAATGCTATTCAGTATCAACAGATGCATTATAGTAATTATGATAAACCTTGGCAAGCATATATCTTGCCCACTAGACATACTCATACAGCAGCATTATTGCAAAATGGTCCTCTTTTATGGTTTCATCTTCTTGTTTCACCAGCTAAGGTGTTAAACCCTTATTATGAAGCAGTAGCTTGTTTAATACAAAAAAAAGCCAGATGGAATCTAGGCAATATTTTGGTGAAGAACCAAATGTGATCAATGTTTCTTTAACTAAACAAGTTGGTTGGTTATTTCAAAATAATGATTCTTGGGCAATTGCTTTTTCTCAGTTTTGGAGCCAAATTGATAATCATTTTCCAGCTGATCAATTCTTGCAATTTGCCCAAATGCATTCCTTTATATTTCCTAAGGTTATGATGAAAGATCCCATAAAAGATGCTATGCTAGTTTTTACTGATGGTTCCTCCAATGGGAGAGTTGCTGATGTCATCAATGGTAAAGGTTACATAGTACAAACAACTCCAGCTTCAACTCAGATAATAGAATTGAGAGCTATGACTATAGTATTTCAAATTCTTAAAGATAGTTCATTTAATTTATATACAGATAGCCATTATATTCATAGAGCTCTTCAAGTTATAGAAACTGTTCCCTGCATTTGAACTAATAATGGTCAGGTTAGGATGCTGTTTCAACAAATTCAAGATGCCATTTCATCAAAAACAGTTATGATAAATTCACAATGTTGTGAAATTTGGTAAATTAAAATACATGCATATGATAATAGATACTTATTCCAGATTTTTGATGGCCAATAAGCATATAATTGTTCATTACCTAAAATGTTTCTCCTATATGGGGATACCAAAAGTTATTAAAACTGATAATAGATCTGGATATATTAATAAAACATTTCAAAAATTTTACTCCCAATACAAAATTGAGCATAAAACAGGCATTCCTTATAATCCTCAAGGACAAAACATTGTTGAGCAAGTCCACGGCAGCCTCAAGATGCAGCTTCAAAAAATTAAGAGGGGAGAGCTGTATCCTCAATCATTGAATCATGCCCTCTTCATTTTGCGTTTTTTTTTTTTTTTAACATGGATGCCTGGGAGCAATCTGCCACAGACAGATTTTGCCTTGATGGCACCCCAGTGACTCTTGCTCAGGTGAAATGGAAATATTCTTGCTCTGGATTATGGAAGGATCCTGACCCTGTTTTAATACGGGGTCAAGGGCATACTTGTGTTTTTCACAGGAAGAAAATTAAGCTCAATGGCTGCCTGAGTACTTGGTATGATGTGTGGAACAGGGGAATGCTGGCCCTGATGACACCATGGTTGCTGACCCACCTCCAGAGGAATTGGAGTAAGATTTGCTGAACCTATGTTCCTGATCATCCGATGTTACATCCTGCAGTCTGGGAAGGGAAGGAATGATTCCCAGCTTCCTGATAGACCTGCTGCACAAATTTCCTAGACTTCTATGAGTTCCAGTTATTCTGAATCTGGCTGAGAAATGACTGTCTGTTTGTAACTGGGTGTTTGGCCATTTATCTACACTATATCTTGTGACATGGAGGTCACCTTTGCCAGTGTTCACCTGCTGATTGCCTAGAGGAAACAGAAGGCCTGGAGAACAGTTGCCTTAGAGTTTTCCCCCTGTGGAAAAGAGACTCTTTGGAGCAATCAAACATTATTACAGAGGCAGTATACTGGTTGAGAAATCAAATTGGAAGTACTGAAGAGGCCTCCCAGACTGATAAGGAGGAACTGGAACAAAAGTTTTGCTGCTGTTTGGTACTCTGGGACTGGGTAGCTCAAATGTATCTTTGGAAGATGATGGCAGCAATACATTGGATTTTAGGAGCGGAAAAAGAGAAGGCTCAGAATTATGGAATTACTCATACCTCACCCACCACAAAAACATTTTCTTCTCCCTTGATTTGGAGTTGTTGAAAATTGTAATTTAACCAATTGTGTGTCCATTGCTAAGTTCATATTAGAATTAGGATGTTAACCGGTTAATGTTAGGATATTGTTATGAAAATGGAGCATAAGCTGAATGCTTTATTTGAAATGATACAATTGTTAGGAGATGAGATTAGAGGGTTAAAGATAAGAGCTCATTTGAAATGTCAGTCTAAATTTAACTGGGTGAATGTAACCTCTTCTGTTTACAATGAAAATGTTAGCTTATCTGAGAGGAATTTGGTATGATGCTAAAGTAGTCCTTAAATTTGATGCAGTTGTGCCGGGCGTTGGTGGCGCACGCCTTTAATCCCAGCACTCGGGAGGCAGAGGCAGGCGGATCTCTGTGAGTTCGAGGCCAGCCTGGGCTACCAAGTGAGCTCCAGGAAAGGCGCAAAGCTACACAGAGAAACCCTGTCTCGAAAAACCAAAAAAAAAAAAAAAAAAAAAAAAAAAATTTGATGCAGTTGCAACAGGAGTTCACTGATTTTAAAAGGGCAAAGTTGGATTTTGATACAGCTAAAATTGCTGTGGACATCATGAACCATTTAAAAAAGGCCATTCTATCTTGATCATCCTTTATTTCTTCACTATGAGGTATAGAAGCCATAAGGAGCAGGTGTATTGCTATGATTATTCAAGCTAGTTGTAAGCTCTTAGTGGAAAACTGATCTAGAGCTGCATAAAGTTAAGCTTTGCACCCTCCCATGCCAGAGGCTGGTAGTCAGAGACAAGTACATTCTTCTTGCTAGCTGTCAACCTAAAACAGAGTACACTTGGTGGAAAATGTTATCTCAAAGATGGATAAGGCTGTCTGGTTGAAGAAGGCAACCTAAGACAGACACAGTCACCTGAGGGGTCTGAAGGACCCTTTATATTATAAAGAACGGGGGAGTTGTGGGGGCTCACAGAGATCCCAGCTTGTGGCTTGTTTTCCTTTTGACTCAAGGTCAGAGAGTGTGAGCTTGTTTCCTCCCTGCAAGGCTGCATAATAGGATGTTTTGGCCAAAGGCGTAGTTACCAGGTATCTTATACTTCAAGGCCTAATTACAGGATGCTTTGCTGTAAGGTGTGGTCACCATATGTCTTGAGTACTAAGAAGGCGTTTACGCTTAACTATATTTTGCACTTTGAACCGTGATGTCCTTCAAAGGGGGAGTCTTTTGCCCCCCCCCCCTTGCTTTGGGTATATAAAGGCTGTGAGTAATAAAACTCAGGTATCTGTAGTATTGACCCAGAACCCTCCCAAAGCTATCCTGTGTCTCTGTCTTTTTCTTCATCTACATCTATATTTCATAGCTATCATTTCCGAATTCCACACTTCCCCTTTCAGAACCTGTTCAACAGGTCAAGCAGGACGCGACACTTCTATCATGAAGGTTACAACTGGGCAAGGAATGAGGTTGCATTCCCGTGTGTGTTAATCCCCACCTCACCCAGAACCCCAAGCTAGAGGGCCCACAGGAGCATTTTGGTCAGCACTCTGGGCCCCTCACAGAATCAAGCCAACTCTGCCTGAGGCTATTGCACACTGGGCCAATACCTCTGTCTCCACAAGACCTGCACAGCTCTTCCCTCAGATACCAGGCCACCCACTGACACACTGTGGGTCTCTAGCTCAGATTCTCACATAGGGGAGTAACTTACATCAACAGGGATATGGAGGGGATTGTGGCTACCCTTCTCCTGCCTCCTATTTGGAAATCAGAGAACCTTCAGACTCCAGTTGTGAAAACTTCCTCTTCCTCTGAGAGCTGTAATAAGAAACCTACCTGTGGGCCCTGATTTCTCTCTTTAGAGCATGCTGTTCTGTCTGTCCATGTCCTTAACAACTCTTCTAATAAATTCCTTACCCTATCAGTCCACCTCAGGGTCCCCTGGGAGCCCATATCTGAGAACTTTCAGTCATTTGCTTATTCCTCTTCTGGAGGCCCTGCCATGCTCCTGGGAGTAGCTGTGGCTCATTTTTCATCTTTGTATAGTATTTGTGCTTCACTGTGTAGATACAAGAATATCTCAAAGACACTTGGTTCCTCTCAAAGATACAACAGTAAATCAGAGTAAAGAGAGTAATCAGCCCTTTTGGAATTTTCCAGGGCTTTGGTGAGCCTTCTTTTTGCCAGTGGGGATCCAGCCTCTGAACGTACAGTGATAATTGAGCAGGCAGCGGCTGCTGGAGGCTGGAGTGATGGTGGCAATATTAGAAATAATGACAGACACCATGTTGTCCAGTTCTTCCTTCCATGAACAATCTCTCCCTAGTGTATGGTGCTGTGTGATTGCATCTTACCAACAGCAGATGAGGGGCTCACTCTGTAGCCCAGGCTAGACTCAAATTAATAGCAGTCCTGACTCAGCCTCCTCCCAAGTGCCAGAATTGCAGGCGTAAGCCCCTGTACCGGGCTAGAATTTCAAACTTCACATGTACACCTGTGAAGCTGCTGGTCTCAACAGTGTGCTGGAAAGACTCAACGTGGCATTCACAGGGAAATTGCCCCCCAGACCCTATTCTCCTCTTAGAAGCACAGAAATTAGCATCATCTTCCAGGCATTGGGAGTTTTCTGAAAGAAAGACTACAATATCTGCTCCCACATAATGCCACTAGCTGCATCTGCTCTGACTGGAGAGGCAACCTGGGCTTCAAAGCTAGACATAGCCTCTCCTCTCCATGATAAACTGAAGTTCCCAGAACACACACACACACACACACACACACACACACACACACACACACACACATACACACACGTGTTCAAGACTGCACAAGGCTGACTGACTGTGGTTCTCAACCTTCCTAATGTTGCTACCCTTTAATATAGTTCCTCGAGCTGTGGTGACCTTCCCAACCATAAAAATATTTTCATTGCTACTTGATAACTGTAATTTTGCTACCGTTATGAATTGTAATGTAAATATCTGATATGTAGGATATCTGATATTGTACCCTACAGGGTCATGACCCACAGGGTGAGAACCGCTGGAGTAAAACTTCATGATTTGGAATGCTGCAGATTCAGAGCCAAATTATCCTGGGCTATTATGAGTCCCATAAATAGTCACTAATGCCCGGCCTAACCTTGTGACTATGAGGTGAAGGAAACCCCATACTAACTTTTGAAACATAATAACTTAGCAGACTACCAGCCTCCACCAACCCATGCTCTATGGCAGAGCTGATAGGCTGTGGAAGCTGGCCTTTCCAGAAGTTACCAGCACAGCTGTAAAACCTGGCCCTTTCTGAAAGTTGTCCACTCTGGCAATTAAGCCAGTGAGATCCCATGACAGGAGTGAGGAGTTACTATCAGCCTGGGAGGAAGCTTGACTTGGTTTCTAGTCATTCACTCATTTAAAACAAATGTTTGTGGGTAGGCATGGAAACTCATGCCTTTAACACCAGTACTGAGGAGGTAGAGGCAAGAAGATCTGAGTTCAAGCCCATCCTGGGTTACATAGTAAGTTCCAGGCCACCCAGGACTACATACAGACACTCTATCCTAAAACAAACAAACAAAACAAAACAACCCCCCCCCCCAAAAATAAACAAACAAAAGTCCCATCCAAAACAGGCAACTCTTGTTTCTGGCCAGGAGGAGTTTTGCACACGTCACCACCTGCTCAGGCCCATGGAGTCACAGGGCTTCCTGCTGAGAATAAACGAAGTCCCAGAGACGATCTGGTCCCATTTCCACCTAGAAAGCAATCGTTCTTTCTGCAGAGCTGGGTGAGGCAAGCAAACAGCACAAAACCAGTAACGTTTGCTCAGAAGAAAGCAGAAACTCGTCAGACCTGGCTTGGGGTTCTGGAAACAGCCAGGCGGGAGGCTAGGGTCTCCTCAAGTTCTTCGTGCTCCCTGGGGACAGCCTGGGCATCTGTGGCCGGTCCCACGTGTGTTCATTCAGGACCAGCTGATCTTGCTTGGGAACATGTCCCTTTCCTAATAAAAATAAGAAAGATGCCAAGACACTTAAGCAGCAGAGACATCCAAACCGAACCTGAGAGCCCGACACAGGTCGACGGCAGCCGTGAGGGCACAGCCTGCACTCCATCAGGGAGAAAGCCCCCTCCCCTGAACCAAATCATAAAGTTAGTGGAAAATGGAACTCACTGGTGTCTCTGAGGGAGACCACAGACCTTCCCCCACCCCCCACCCCCTCTGCACTGACAGGGTCCCTGGGTGTTGTAGGCCTTTCCCTGTTGCTGAGACATTTGGACATTGTGACGTAGCTGTGACCTCAGGGCCTCACCCAGGCAGGGACATCAGCCCCTACTTGAAATGACCTTGAGAGAGAAGCTTCTGGGTTTTACACCCGTTCCTCACTGTCCCTGAGTTCATTCTTATTTGGGGTTGTGTGGCCCTCTAGATGTCTGTCCTGCTAGGACCTAAGGGTAAATAAACCAAGGCTGTCATCTGGGGATAGCAAAGGGATTCAAAAGTCAGAGAGAGATCTGAACTCCTATAGAGGCCCTGCCCTCAGCCCTGGCCCCGAATTGATGATCCCAGGGCATGGTGGGAGATCAAAAGGATACTCCAATTCCAGGGGTAAAGGAGGAACCCAGGGCCTTGGGCAGGTCCAAGGCAATGTCAGGGAAAGAACCTGGTACATTTGTCAGGTAGGAGTGCATCCCAGTACCTTGTCTGGAACCACAGTTCAGAGTCAGTGCTCCAAACAGAGCATTCCAGAAGGGTGTGGCCAGGCAGTGTAGCTTAGAGTCCTTGCCAGGCATGGTGAGGCCCTGGGTTCCACCACCAGCACCACATAGACCAGCATGGTGGTGAGTACCTGTACCTTCATTCCAGCACTTGGAAGGTGGAGACAGGAGCTACATAGCAAGTTGGAAATGAGCCTGGGCTATGTGAGACCTTGTATCACAAAATAAAAAAGATGAGAACTGGGACTTGAAACTGAGCTTCCTAGGAGGCCATTTGGTGTTGCCTTGGTGAGTGAGGACATGGACCTGAGGGGCCACAATGGACTAGTGTAGCATGAATCTTTAAAGGTCTTTTTAATAATAAAAAAAAAAAAACCTGGACCTAGGTTTTGGGGTGAACACGGAAAGATCACAGAGAACAGAGCTAACCTCACCTAGCCAACTTCTGAGCTGATCCTGTTTCCTCAAACTGGAAGTCCTCATCTGAAATGGATCTCAGCTGAACTGTTGCTCAAAGCCTAAAAGCTTAACCAGGCTTTAGTTCCTGGTCCTCACACCTTATATACCTTTCTGCTTCCTGCCATTGCTTCCTAGGACTAAAGGCATGTGTCACCATGCCTGGCTGTTTCCAGTGTGGTTTTGGACTTACAGAGATCCCAATGGATCTCTGCTTCCAGAATGCTAGGATTAAAGGTGTGTGTGCCACCATTTTCTGGCCTCTATGTGTATCTAATGGCTGTTCTGTTCTCTGACCCCAGATAAATTTATTAGGGTTCACAATATATTGGGGAACACAGTATCACCACAGACTAGCTTTGGGGTCCAGAGATTTTATTCATGTTTAACTGGACCTGAGGTGGCTCAAGGCACTTTGGAAATCTACTTCTTACAGTCCCATGTGAGGGTGGTGGCACTGGATCCTGTCCAAGGTTCCAGTGGAGAGAGGCCAGAGACACACAGCCAGGACCTCTTGGCTCAGGAGACACGGTTGCTACATAAGCAGAAGCCAAGGCATGGGAACAGGTAGGGACAAGTGGAAGGCTTTCCAATAGAACTTTCCAGACTCTGATTCACAAGTCACAAAGCCACTGCTAGAAGGATGGGTTATATCTCCCCCTCCTCACCCCCCCCCTTTGAACCACCCTCCAATGTAGTAGTCCAAATCCATCAGCGATAACCTTGTCATGTATCACATCATCTCTGAGGTGTGGGAGTCCAGAAGCACTGAGCTGGGTAGTCCCAGGCTGAGCTGCCCTGTGAGGCTATAGAAGGTGACCTTGGAGGTTGCCATCTCATCTGAAAACTCAACAGGGCCAGGAAACCTGCTTCCCAGGCAGCTCATGTTTGGCACATTGGTGTGGCTGTGGGAGGGAGGCCTCTGCCCAGTCTGCTAAGTGTCCTTGGGATATGTTGGTGGCTCCCAGAGACCACAGGCTGAAGTACCATACCTCCATGCAGATCTGGAAGATGGACTTGCATTTTGTGTTACTCCAGTCTATTGATTACACAGGTCAGTGCTACTCTGGGTGGAGAGCTCTTTGGATAACAGGATTGCCTACAGGTGGGTCTTGAGGTACCATCTTGGAGGCTGATACAGAAGAGCCCAGAGCAGGAGATTCAGGAAGGCCACTAAGAGGAGAGGCTTGCCACCAGGACCAGAGCTCTAGGAACCGCTATCTGATGACCCACCACTGGCTGAGGGAGGAGGATTGAGAGCAGGTCCTCCCAGTTTCTGAAGTTCCTTCCTGGCTCCTGGCCTAGCACGTGCCTGGAAGAGTTCCCAGCCAAGGTGCTGGAGCCAAGTAGCATGGCTGCAAAACAGAACTGTGGCAAGGACAGATGAAGACAGGGGACCTGGAAGGCATCGGAAACACATGGCCCTAGGTATGACATCTGTGACTTCTGGCTCACACCTGCCTGCCTACCTAGAAAGGCAGAGGCCTGGGCCTCTCAGAAAACAAAATTACTCAAATGAAAGCCAGGAGCAAGACAGCTTTCTGATAACTAACATCAGTGCCTTGTGGAGGAGGCTGAGGGAGAACCAGATGGAAGCTGCCATCTCTGAGCCTCTAAGGGCAGGAACAATGGGCCCCTGTGTATGGATGGCTTAAATCACCCTTTGTGTGTGTGTGTATGTGTGTGTGTGTGTGAGAGAGAGAGAGAGACAGAGAGAGAGAGAGAGACAGAGAGACAGAGAGAGAGAGACAGAGAGAGAGAGACAGAGAGAGAGAGACAGAGAGAGAGAGACAGAGAGAGAGACAGAGAGAGACAGAGAGAGAGAGAGAGAATTTGGGGAAGGGGGGGACCACCTCAGGTATTGGTTCTCATCTTCACCTGGTTTGAGAAAGGGCTCCCTGCTCTCTGTCCACAGGCCTCTGGCTCCCATTTTGACTTGAACCTGGGATTATAGATGCTCATATCTGGCTTTTCGTGGATGAGGACTCAGGTCCTCAAGCTTACAGAGCAAGCACTGTACCCATTGAAAATGGAGTTCACCAATTCACTAGGCTGGCCAGTCAGTGAGCCCCAGCAACCCACTGGTCTCTGGTCTCCCCAGTGGATTACCAGCTCACACCACCACACCCAGCTTTCTCATGTGGGTTCTGAGACTCAAACTCGGTCCTCATGGTTCATAGCAAACACTTTACCAACTGACCCAACTCCCCAGCCCTCAAATGCAATTCTTTTTAAAATATTTTAAACCAAGGGCTGGAATTCAGTTCTGAGCACCCACATGGTAGCTTACAACCATCTGTAACTCCAGTTTCAAGGGTTCCAGTTCCTTCTTCTGGTCTCTGGGCACCAGACATTCATTCAGTGCTCTTACATACTACGGGAGTTTGAATGTAATTGGCCCCCATAATCTCATAGGGAGTGGCACTATTAGGAGGTGTGACTTTGGTGGAGTGGGTGTAGCCTTCTTGGAGGAAGTGTGTCACTGTGGGTGTGGGCTTTGAGGTTTCCTATGCTCAGAATACCACCCAGTGTCTCAGTTGACTTCCTTTTTCCTGCAAGATGTAGCATTCTCAGCTCCAGCACATCTGCCTGCATGTTGTGATGCTCTCTGTCATGATGATAATGGACTGAAACTCTGAAACTGTAAGCCACCACCACAATTAACTGTTTTTTATTATAAGAGTTGCTGTGGTCATGGTCTGTTCCTAGTAATTAAAAACCCCAAGACACATCCATACTAGCAGAACACTCATACACATAAAATACATACATCTAAAAAATTTTTTAATTTTAATCTTTTAACTATGTGGAGTTGTCTTGTTAGTTCTGCTTTAGGCACCACACATTCAATCCAAAAATTTTTTAATTTTAATCAGATTAACTATGTGGAGTTGTCTTGTTAGTTCTGCTTTAGGCACCACACATTCAATCCAAAAGCCAGGCAAGCATGGGAATACACATCTGTAACTGCAGGACTTGGGGACTGAGGCAAAAGGTTTGCCACAGGTCCTGGGCCAACCTAGGCTACATGGGAGACTTTACCGTTTTAGGAAAAAAAAACCTAAAAAGATAAAAACAGTGTATGATTAACAATGGCTCCTGTGCTGTGAAACAGATCTCCAAATAATGGTCCTGTGTGTGAGTACTCCATGCACTCTGCCCCAGGTCTCCTGGCCTGTCCCTTGTAGTAGGGCTGGAATGAAGACACCTGCTTTTAAACCTGGTCTCAGCCAGGCACATTTTACAGGGCAAATTCCTTCAATCCCATCATTCCATTTGAGTCACCCAATGTTGTCACAGAGGGTCTGCCGACCCAAGGGCTCTCCAGGAACGCAGATGTGTTACATGCTGTGAAGTTGTGTTCTGAGGATTGGTTGGAAAACAAGTTTGGAGGTGTCTTGGCCCTGTTGCTGGAGATCCAGTTTTTATCTCAAGGGACAA